TGATTGTCTTCTGGACAACTGTCAGATCAGCAGTCTTTCCCATGATTGTGTAGCCTAGTGAGCCAAACTGAGTGACCATTTTGAAGGCTCGGGACACCTTTGCAGGTGTTTTGAGTTGACTAGCTGAGTGGCATGTCACCATATTCTAATTTATTGAGATAGTGATTTGGTGGGTTTTTGTTAAATGTGGGCCAAAATCACCACAATTAAAAGACCCAACGGCTTAAACTACTTCAGTCTGTGTATATTGAATTTATATAATACACAAGTTTCACTATTTGAGTTGAATTAATGACATAAATGGACTTTTCCACAATATTCTAATTTATTGAGATGCACCTGTATACCTATAGTTCATTAACTAACTCATTAACTAAATAACATGCATGATGTTGACTGTTTGAGGTGTTCTGATAAAATTTTAACAGAGACCAGCCAGTCAATAAGTATTTTCTATGACCAAAGTACACAAGTAATACAAAGAAAAATTCATTACATATAGTTGCCATTGTTTAGAAATACCTGAGGATGACCCATGTACAGTGCCGCATTGCTGTTTACTTGATTTGCTGGATTCACCCTGAAGATCCAGCTTTCTCTTTCCGGATGGCTGAACCTGAAAAGGAACATTGATATTTGACTCTTAAAACATTACTTAGGAATTTATATTCAAACAGGATTTGCCCTGTAACACATCTTTGCAATCCATACAGTGAAATTTACATTCATGCAAAACCTTGCAGTTCAGCAAATGGTTAATAAGTAAATGAGTGATTCCGCTTATTATTTCCTTAGTCAATAAAACTGTGATCAAATGACAAAAGAAATCACTGGAAATATGTTTCAGAAATTTAAAAAAACTGCAATTTGAAAAATATTTTATCAACTTTTATCTCATTGTCATCAAAGCTTTCAACATCTCCTTCTCCTGTACATATAACAGCATACATTAATAAATGTGATCGTGTATCTTCACAGTGAAGAACATTACCTTTCAGTTTAGGGATCTGTGGAACAGTAACCAATGCAGGCATTGTGTGGTTTCAACACTAATCATGCTCAATATTACACCTCAGCCATAAATGTTGGGCAGATCAAGGATTTAGGACATGATCAGGTTGGTGGGACTCAACAAACAGAATCCTTAACAGCAAATAAATAACTAATTGATCATTGTTTTGTAAGTGGCTCAGTTTTCTGTTTCCTGATTTGTCTTGTTCTCCCTAATGACAAAGGAAATCACAGCAAATTTGTTTTAGTTAAAAAGAAGGAAAGAAAGAACAGAAAAAACTGTGCAGTTTGAAAACTATTAAAACTATTGTCAGTGAGATTTTATAATCTTTTCCCTGTGTCATCAAAGCTTTCAACAGCTCCTGCTTGTGTACCTATAACAGCATCCATTAGTGAATATGATGTGATGGCATTTACAATACCTGTGTAATGTATCTTAAAAGTGAAGAATGTTACCTTTAAAAACTTGAGATTGTTCTTGAATTTTGCCCTTTGTTCCAAATTTGGGATCAAGTTATCAATGTCACAATCTTCAAGAAGGTAAAGACGTTCTGTGTCAATGCGTTCCTCTGTAATTAAAAAGTGAAGTTGAACATTAGTCCCGCAAATAATTAATTTCATAATTTTTCATAATTCTACAGTAATCTATTTCATAAGTAGTGAAACAGCTGTGGGTACAGCTCACGAACACATATGGTTTTTTTTGGATTTTAATAAGTCGTTACTGTTCTGTCTTCAGTTTGGTGTTAACTGCATCAACATCCTTATTTCAATAAACCATAAGATGCAACATGACAGACAATAATTGCCAAGATTTGGCAACATTCCTGTTGTATTATTAGTGTATAACATCTGTGCCCACCAAAGAAGCTTGGTAATACTTTACCTTGAAATCTTTCTTTCAACTCGCCAAGGCCCCATTCAATTAATTTGTTACAAACAAATTGATCCATATCAAGAACAGCAACTGGAAGGTAAACGAATAATTATAATTCATCATAACTGTGAAGAAGAAATAAAATGTATGTACTTGAATGTCAATAAGTGAAATCAAAACCCAGGGGAGGGTACACATGAAGTCAACTGCTTAAACAATACACTATACAAACATTTAGTATCTGTGGAACACTAACTAATGCAGCAATTGCATTGTTTCAGCACTGTTTAATCATACTCACTATTACACCTCAGCCATAAATGTTGGGCAGATCAAGGATTTAGGACATGATCAGGTTGGTGGGACTCAACAAACAGAATCCTTAACAGCAAATAAATAACTAATTGATCATTGTTTTAAAAGTGGCTCAGTTTTTTGTTGGGCAGATCTGGGATTTAGCACGTGAGCAGTTTATTTAGGACACTGAGCACAGTGCCTACTCTTTCCAGTTATGTCACAGTAAACCAGCTCTTCCTTTCTTGCACTGTGGTTCCAAATCCACAGTTAAGAAACACAGAAAGATCCGGTAGCTTACAAGCTCCTGTGGGAATATTAACATTTTAAAAAGCTTATTTCAGGCAAAAAATTGTTATGCTTTTCATTGTCTTTAAAAAAAAATGCTGAGCAGGCAACTGTAAAAGAAATTAAACCATGGTATTGGAATAATCTTGAAAAATCATTTTTATAATACAAGAAGAAAAAGTTAATAATACAAGATTTACAGCAGATTAAAAAGAGATTTACAATAGCATTAAAAAATAAGCCAGTATGGTGCCCAAACTAGGACTGTACCCGACTAAGAATTTTGTCAGTGGACTGTCAGTCAGCTGTTCAATACATATCCACCATAAATTGTCCAAAAATCAGCTGGCATGGTTTTCAGTGATGACAAGATGGCGAGCTCCCATAACACAGCACTTCCGTAGCTGACAACCCTCCATAACTGACAGGAAATCATGTGCCGATGTTCAGTCAGTAAAATAAATCTAATTTAATAATTACACAATTTATTGTACAAAGTGAATAGGCTAACTAAATGAAAGACTGCCTGTGAGCTACTGATTAAAGACAGTTATTCTTAACAGCTTTATTGCATCCTGTTGTCAAAATCAACACCCTTGAATGTTAGTTACTGAGTTAATTAGATTCAACTTTATTATCATTATACATGTAAAAAGTACAAGGCAACGAAACACAGTTTAGCATCTAAATCTGTTGTCTAATTCACAGAACCATAGACATGCATTATACTATTGTTGTAGTCAAAAGTCCAAGTTCCTATTTCAGAAATTTCAACTAGAACGGCCCCTGAAGTCGGATTAACAACTCAGAAAGTTGAACTTCACTAACCCCAACCTCAAAACTCAAGATGGCTGCTCCACATATCAGCGGTAAAAAAAAAAAGCTGCAGTTTAGTAGCACTTGTGTATTATTTGTGCCTCATTAAAACGGTTCACAGACACAATAAAGTCCCACTTTTATCCATTAACATATTGCTACAGTGTATGCATGTGCAAAATACCACAATGTATTGTTATAAACTGGTATCGCTATCAGTGGTAACAACAGTTAACCTGGCTCAACTGGTATTGTTAACCTTTACATGGAATGCAGTTATATACTCTTTACTATACCTCATTAAAACAGCCATACACACAGTATTGTCCAATATCTATCTGTGACCATATTGCTACAGTGCCTGTATATGCAAAATACCACATAATTCGCTATTATAAATTAGTATTGCTAACATAGTATAACTTGTAATCATACGTTATGATTTCCTGTTTATTCCCCTTTCTCATACTATCGTTTGAGACGCCCTCCATCTGAGTTTCGCGCACACCTATATCTTTCTCGTTACCGAGTGGGAAATCCGCTGATGCACACCCTTTCTGCACTCGACAGAACTTAGTTCTAATTATGCAAAATACAACAAAACATTTCTCTTGGCATGCTAAACATATTAATAAATTGTTATGGCCGCTTTGGCAGCGTTAAGCACTGCTAACATACCTGAAAGGAAGATCACTACTTGAAGGAACAACGAAATGGTTTACTCGAGTGAAAAAAAAATCCCGCCTCCCCTAAGTAAGTGGGTGAAGACAAAAGCAATCGATCTCAGGCTAGCAGATTAAGGAGTTTTGCAGATCACTGATAGTTTTATCACAATTTGAGATGCCTTTCTGGCGTTTTATCATTTTAACTTCCAACCACTTTTAGCAATACACGTTTTTACTAGTTTTAAACACAATGATACATTTTTAAGGGCCCTTATGAACTGACTCATCACTGTTTTTAACTCATAGGCAGACTGGTAATTTGGACATTCCGTTTTTTACTTGTTTTTCAGTTGTTTTTTAAATTCAGTTTTATTGTTTTATTTGGTGCACATCAGGGGCCATTGAGCTGGAGTCAGATTCCTAGTATTTTAACATACTTGGCAATAAAGTTTATAATCAATTGATCGGTCACAAAAAATGTATTTGCAAGTCAAACATGCAGAACAGCAACTTTACAATGATGCCTTTGATTGTTCTTCTGTCTTTGGAACTGTTCTACAATGTACTTTTACTGTATGCTGTTAAAAAGACCAGTACAGCCAGCGTTGACTATAAATTTCCTTGTACTAGAATGCCAGGGTAACAAAAGTCCAATAATAGCCCTCATAATGTCTTCTGCTGTTTATACTTCTTATGTATGGTATACTGTACCATAGTGATGTCTGTTGTTGAAATGAGGAGGAAGAAGCTGTAATAAATCTTTGAGTTTGACTCAATATGTGCTCATATATGCTTACAAGTGTTTGAATCCTGAGCTGGACAGCTGCATTGTCATGTGAATTTTGTTACATGATGTACTGTTTTCTGTGCTGCTAGTGCAACTTCTGCAATATAAGTTTTATCATAAATATGGCTATATCTGATATTGGTGTTGAGCTTGTGACTGAATATTTTAAAACCACTTGTGCTGAATCAATCTGCATGCCTGGTATGGTAAAAGCACACAAGTTTAATTTTTCCCTTGTGCTTTCCTTTCTTTGAACAACAGAGGGTAGTAGAAGACAACATTTTGCTGAACAGATGTTTCGCTCTATGCCTGCACTATGAATGCATACTATACAATAGTATCTTTTCAAAAAGATCAGAGTGGCATTATTTGACTGTAAGGATAATTAAAATAACTATTTTTCCCCTTCCGAATGATGTGCAACAGTCAGTCCCAAAAATGACACCAACTTAACCATCTGGAAATCTAGGCAATTATTCAGATTGTTTGTGATTTATCAAAAAAGTAGGTATGATGGGAACAAACAGGAAGAGGTCTTGATGCCAGCTCCAGAAAACTTAGTACTAACAGTAATTTCCTATTTACACTAGGTTGTCCAATATCAATCATTTGTATTTCTGGTTGTGGATTTGGTTCAGTATGTTGGAAAATACTACATTTGCATGAATGCCAAGAGGGGAATTCACTTAATTTACAGCTTTGTTGTAACAGGGTAATGATGTGATAATATCATATAAGAATGAGGTAACAATGTGGTACATGCATAGAAGTACCCATCATACAAGGACATCCCGTTGCAGTGCTGAAACATACAGTACATCTGTTAGGGTGATTCTCACAATCAATGTAGCTTCTTACATTACATATGTAGGCAGGTGGTAAACATGTACTAAGGGGAAATAAATAAATAACTAAATTGTTTTCCACTGGTGGTGAAGGGTCCCCTGAAGGTTTTAAGGTTTTCAATGTTCAAATTGTCATTCAATGTTTATGGGTTATCTGTTAATGTAACACTGTTCAATTCTGGTGATCTTATGTAAAAGTAACCTACAGTGGACTACTGGAGTTTGATGCTGATGTCACCTGGTATCTTGGTCACTAGATGGCAGTACAGAAGGAGATGTGTAAGTTCTGCCAAAGCGTGACCAAATGCATTGTGGTCCCTGCCTTTTTTCGTTGGACTGAGCTTGAGAGTGGAGCGCTGTGATTTTTTTTTGGGGGGGACTTATGTAAATAAATATGCTGAAATCTTGTTGGATTCTGTTGTGTCAACAGTTTAAAAAGGTCATTTATAAGAATTCTAACAAGATGATGCATTATAGATGCCGAAGGTGCTGACGGCGGTGTGCCCGACATAGAACGGGTGAGCTTTTGGTGGAACAGCCCACTGCCGTATTTTGTTAGCCCTTGTTTTTGCTACTCTGTTTTGTTACTCATTTTTGTGTAAATAAATTATGACCTTCTAAACACTGAAGCTGCAAGGACCCCAGTAATTGTGTCCCGTGTAAGCAACCGTTTTACCCGGGCTACACATAGCAAACAAAAACCTTTGTCTTCTGTTCCAAGCTGGATTTGTCACATTATTCCATAAAATGTAGCTTGTAAATCACCATTAAAAAACTACACACACACACACACACACACACACACACACACACAATCTTCAAACAAACCTACAGTAAATAACATAAACAAACTTGGAGAACAGAGTGGAGCATCTACCCATAAAGAGTCACATATTTTCCTCACGAGTCAATGGCAGCCAAGAGTCTGAATATTGAAATTATTTTCAGCAGATGACAAGATACACAACTCCACATGCTAAGTTGCTCTGCATTTGATGGATGTGTAAATTACAACTTGTTCATTAAAGAGTAAATGGACAACGGTTACCTTTTCGGTGTCTTTGTATGTTTAATGGGTGTGTCCAATAAAGATATTAAAGATCATGACTGTTTGTGTTTTATTGGTTTATAAATATTGTGTTTGTTGATATTTGTGACCTTGATGAAGATCAGATCACATTTCATGGCCAATTTATGCAGAAAACTAGGACATTGCAAACAGTGCCATTACTTTTTCTTGTGACTGTATATAGTTCACCATCCCCTGAAGTAAAGGTCCTTACATTTTGCTGCAAACAGTTCAACAATGTCACAAAATAAAGCCAAAAATATAACCATAAAATCAACTCAACACGTCCAAGCTACTGTACTGAATTGCAGTAGATCTACCTAATTGTGTTTAATATAATGGCACCTCAGCATGTGTTTGGCTGACTTTGGAAAGGGACATCCCTGTTCACCTTCTGCCTTCAGTGCCAAGCCCAGTTAACCATCCCTTTCAATGACCCTGTTCAGTGGTGACAGCTGCATCCAGTCTCTATGAAGCAGCACATCATCTCAGAACAGCCAAACAATGGTTCCAAAAACAGAAGGTCCTTTGAGACAGAAAAGCAGTCAGGCTGGGTTGTAAGCAGGAC